AGCGTCCTTGCCCCTAGTAGCGATGCCCTTGTTCCTAGTAGCTTCTTGTTCCTAGTAGTAATGCCAAGAGCTCCTAGTAGCTTCTTGTTTACTACTATTGCGCTCGCGGTTGTATGCTGTCTCGGGGTGATGGGAAGCGGGTTTTCGTCGATCGTTGAACATCGAACCTTCGACCGGAGCAGGTGCGCCCAACTGGTGTGTCAGTTTGGTGTGGTGACCCAGCGACCCGATCGGACTAGGCGAAAGGCGAAAGGCGAAAGGCTTCAGACGGATCCCCAGAGCCTCGTTCGTGGCGTCCGATCGCTCCTAGTAGTACGGCCAGGAGCTACTAGTAGCTTCCTTGCTCCTAGGCAAGCGGCAGAGAGACAGGAATGGCAAGTGAACACACCGTGAGAGGTCGCTCCGCCCTGCCAAACGGGTGTGGTCCGGCTTGCAGGAGCGAGTCGTCAGAGGTTGGGGGGTGTTTCAAACGAGGAACACGGGCACCACGGACTTCAGTGACAGTGATTCCGGCAACGTTGCAAGCCCCTTCAAACCCAAGAACAGTCGAAGAGCTTTGGGTACCGGCTTGTGTGTTCCAGGACGTTGGAGGCCATTTTCTAGCAGCCAGACTCTAGCTTGCTGTGAATGCCTTCGGTTGCATGACCCTGTCCAGAATGCGAACTTCTGATGAGTGATCCCCGGTGGCCTCAGGAGAAGCCGGATCAGCAGGTTCAGGATCCGCCGCAAGACACGTGGCAAAGTTCCAAGAAAAGGCGGAGTCACAGCAGCAACGCAGCGCAACGCAGCGACCACCTTGGGACTCGGGGGACAAAGGCCGTGTATCGCCACTAACTCTCAACCAATCTGCTGAGCGAAGGCCCAGCCGTTTCGCCGAGGATGCCCACCGTGTCCTTGACCAAGACAGACAGCTGGAGCGACACCTGGCAAGGCCACTGCTGTCAGGATTTGGGGGTCAGAAGCCTTAGTTCTATGGTGGGATCAAATTCTCCAGAGTTTTTTTAATGATGTTATTGGTTGTTTAAACCAATGCTGTGTGGAGTCCAAAAACGCATTTTTTTTCCTTTTGTCACGGCTTTTTGCAACCACTCCCGGTCTGTTCTGATCTTGTGGAGATCAGTGGCACTAGGTGTCTGTCTAGTGCACGGCCAGGCTCCAAATGGAGCAGCTGGGAGAAAGGCCTGAGATCGAGAAAACACTTAGACTTAGACTATCTTAGCTTTTTGGTGCCAAGTTCATTTTTTGAAATTAATGCCCATAAAGTGCTTCCTGACTGGATATTGCACCGCAACTTGCCCGAGCGAGACTTCTTCGCTTCCTTTTGTGAGTTGGAAAGCATTTGCCTCCGGACCGAACGCAAAAGTCTTTTCGACAAAGTCCGCCTCAGACAGCTCCTGGGACTACGCCTACAGCAGCTCGAGCAACGCCCTAAGCGGAAATTCGGTCAAGCCTTGGAGGTACTTCTGTGTTTGTATGCACATGGTAGGTTTTGGACCCCTGTGTTGTTTTTTTTGCTGTAGGTGGACCTACGTAACATGATCAAGGTTAAGGTCCCTGCCCATCCCAAAAAAAGAAAGCATTGTTTCAGCCAGAGAGAAGCTGAGGAAAATATGAAAAACACCAACCATGGAGTCTTGAGAGTGTGATTTACATGTGGAGATGCTATCGCTTGATGTTGTTGATCACTTGATCTGCTCCAACAAGGGATATTCAGCTTCATCCACTCCTGGAATGAAAACATGCCACACTACTGGAACCATGGCAACAAGCGCTTCTACCTACCGTAGTTTTTCATTAAGGGTTCCTTGAAAAGTGTGTGAGCAGGTCCTCTCTGCGACTTTGCCTTTTATGGATCCCGCACCTTAGATACATATATATATATATGTATATCTATATAACTCTATGTGTATCTCCGCAGACGCATTTACGAACCCGCCAAGCTTTAGCTTACCTCATAGGTATGTCGCCTCAAGCCACTTTACGGCTCCGTCGGCCCCCCCATGTCTCGTCGCGTTCGACCACCGTTTCGGGTCGGAACGTGGTTGTGTGCCGGTCGAACAGCCTGTCGAAGTCAAAGTCAATGAAACCAGACAGCGTCAGGCAATGAACTGAACATGGAAAAGGGGGTCCTTCTGGGAAGAAGCTGCTGAAAGAGCACGATCGAAAGAGCGCTTGGCTTCTTTGATTGGCAGGTACACAGGAAAACATACGAACATGCGGAAGGGCAGATTAGGAAGTATCCCAGGAAATGATATGAATGAATTGCCTGAAATCTCCATTCCCCGGGGTTCAGACTTGGGACTTCCCAGCCAGGCAAGTGGTCTTGGGGGTGGCCCGCAGGCGCCTCAAGTGCTTGGCTCAGGTGGCGAACGGAAAGGCCTCGATACATGTAGAAAATTAATAGATATAGAAGAAACTCAATCCCATAAATGAAACAAACACAACTATATACACACCCAAATTGTATTGTTTAAAGTATCAAGATACTTATCTTTCAAGGAGCCGCCAGCAAGACTGCTTTGAGGTGCGAAAGCATCGGGAAGCGCCTTGAAAACAACCTGGGAGGACCGATCTCAACTCTACTCCCATCTACTAGTAAGGCACTTGTGACTAGTAGCGATGCACTTGTTCCTAGTAGCTTCCTGTTACTACTAGTAAGGCACCTGTTACTACTAGCGATGCGCTTGTCTCCGGTTCATTTTGGTTCGCTTTCAAGGAGACCATGCCTAGCGCTCCTCCTTTGGCGGTCTTTGGCGGCCTGAAGCTCTTTGTGGGCGCCCCAAATTCATGATCCACTGAAGGACTCACTCGCATGGCCACCCCTACGCTGCTAAATGTGCTGCGCAGACCTGTGCAGAGCACTTTTGCTTGTTTGCTGGACTTGCAATTTTGACTAATTTTTTGTCTGATGTAAATCCTCCTCCTGGCTCAATCTTGATCTTAGCGGAGTCTAGTCTGATGAGCAGAGCACGAAAACTGCACAGGTCGTCGGGGGTGCCTGGAGCTGAGAAACCGATGGCGCAGTCGTGCGTTGCTTGATCATCCTGAGTTCCATAGTAACCTCAGTTTTCTTTGATATTTTCATTAGCAGATTCAAGAAACTAGACTGATGTTTTGAGTGTCTCTATGAAGCCCGGTAAAAAAAGGTGCCTTGCTTTCGTCCGCGTCGTTTTCTTAGAGGCCGTGGTGAAACATATCCTTGGTCGCTGACAGGGATACAGCAGCACAGGGATCCTGCCGTTTTTTCTCGCTTAGTAGGGGCTCCTGGCCGTACTAGTAGTAACAAGGACGCTACTAGTAGCTCCTGTGTTGCTACTAGGAGCAAGGACGCTACTAGGGGCTCCTGGCCGTACTAGTAGTAACAAGGATGCTACTAGTAGCTCCTGGCATTGCTACTAGCAAGGACGCTACTAGGGGCTCCTGGCAAGGACGCTACTAGGGGCTCCTGGCCGTACTGCTAGTAACAAGGACACTACTAGTAGCTCCTGGCATTGCTACTGGGAGCAAGGACGCTACTAGGGGCTCCTGGCTGTACTAGTAGTAACAAGGACGCTACTAGTAGCTCCTGGCATTGCTACTAGGAGCAAGGACGCTACTAGGGGC